GAAAGTACATATATAGTATATATTAGTAATTCAAGATTGAATTATTTAAAGCAACGAAGATCCAGCTCCGACCGTAATAGGCAGTTACATTTCTAGTATAAAATGTATTCTTAACAATAAAATTTAAAACGAAATTATCCGAGAACGTACAAATTATATGAGTCGAGATACAAAAATTATTACATGTTTCAGCCTTTTGATTAGGCCATCTTCAGATAAAAATATTTAAATTATTATATGAACATTAAAATTGAACGATTGTATAATCAAAAGAAGAATACTTTTCCTCAGCATGATCACCGCGTTGATAGCAAATGATTTTTAGACCGATTGTTTATAACGTCCCGATATCATAACATACCGGAAAAGAAGCAATCTCTCTGTGTGTGACATAATTGTCATTCACTAATAGTCAATATAATATAAAATTGTTTCAAACTGCGAGTTACACATTCTTATCTACAAATGTATGTACTGTTTAAAAACGAATAAATTAGAAACGACACCAACAAGTACGAAAGTTAGGCAATAACCCGAATCGAAATTTTACTCCACTGTTCAACCTCAATTAGACCTTTTAGACCTATTTTGATACTTAAAGTACTCAGATGGACCTCTTTTGATGTTACTTAATCTACAGCAGTAGTATATGGGCAACCACGGAGCGTCAAAACATGGCTGCGGTCCACTTGACGCTACAAACGCTTCGAAGCGTTTGAGCAACCAATCAGAACAAAGAATTTTACAAATTGAATATCAAAAACGCTTCGAAGTGTTTGTAGCGTCAAATGGACCGCAGCCTAGAAGGGCCTGTCTGGAAAAAGGGAGCGCTCTGGCTGCTTGGTGACATGAGGGAGTAATGAGGTAAATGGCGCGTTTCGATTGGTTCGCTCCATAGCTGCCCACGCTACGGTTGGTGAGGGAGAGGGCGCGTTGAGAGAGAGAGAGAGAGAGAGAGAGAGAGAGAGAGAGAGAGAGAGAGAGAGAGAGAGAGAGAGAGAGAGAGAGAGAGAGAGAGAGAGAGAGAGAGAGAGAGAGAGAGAGAGACAGAGAAAATGAATAGCCGCCAAGTCCGAGAAAATGATGGAGGAGGAGACAATAGGACCCCGAGACCGGTTTTTGCCAGGGGGAAAAAAGGGAGAAAGGTTCAGGCTTCAAAGAGGAATGCGGGTATGATTTATGGTCCTTCGTTTCTTTCGCATCTCGCCGTCCTGCTTAGACACAATGAAGAGAGTCTTCCTTTATCGCTTATTTATTTTTTCTACTATTTAATGCTATGTGACTGATTTTTTTGTCTGGAAGCACAGGAGGAAAATAGGAATGGACAAGTTCGTGACTGATTGTAACAAAGCTGGGATGATTTACTCGGTTTAGTGGATAAATTTTTTTACACTTTATGTTAGAGCGTTAGTCTTATTTCCAAAAATGACAAAAGTTTTTATTAAGCTATTTCTGACAAAAAATATGAAAAAAAAAGATGTCGGTTGGAAGGGAACAAATGATTAAGAAACAAACGAGAGTTTATGATACAAAGATGTATTTATTGATACAAATTTTTCTTCATAGGAAAATACATATAAGAATAATCTAAAAAACGGCTTAGAAACATTAAGCGAAAGATTCACGATTTGAGAGGATTATATAAGAAATTTCATTGTAGCGCAATGAAATTAATTCCAAAAATATTATATTAAAATACATATCAAGAAAAGTTAAATCATTAATTTGTGTATGTACGTTGCGCTCAATTTCGTCGTAATTTCCCCGTAGCGTTAATTTTATAATTTCCTGATTAACATAACTTACAGGAAGTTTCAGCTCGATTTCTCGAATTAAATACTGCGC